GACTAAAATAGTAAATTACAACTACTCGGATTGGTCTGGTTCACTATACACTATGTATAAGATATAGATAGTATTATGCTGGAAAAATATTCTTGTCAACAATTTCCTAACCACAATGCCTTCTAGTCAACTCCATTTGTAGAGTTTCCGAGTAGAATTTTTTGACGAAAATTTTGAGCATGTTCTACACGAAGTGTAGATCATATCCACCAAAATTCAGCTTAGAATGCAATCGGGAGTGAGTTTTAAGCTGAAATTTGGTGAGCATTATGTACTTAATGAGAATCAATCTCACAAAATTTCATCAAAAAATTCAACCAGAAATACCTCAAATGAGGATTACTCACGCTAATATATATGAACTTCGATTCTTGCATAGGGACCGGAACCAAACCAAAACCGAATGAGAATCAAATCGGTCAATACTATAGAAACCAAATTGAAAAAAGTAGAAGTCTAAAATTATACTCCCTCCGGTCCCAAAACAAATTCACTGTTTGACTTCACACAATTTAAGGAAATAAATTTGACTTTACTGTAGAGTACACTGTTGTGACACTATTTGACATTGTTTGACATTGTTTTGCACTGCTTTAATCTAGATAATTTATCAAATAAGAAAGAGAGAAAAGTGTGAAGTTTATTTTAGACCTACCCAAAAAGGAAAGTGTGAATTTGTTTTGAGAGGGAAGAAAGTACTCTACAACTATAGGATCAGGAACTGATAATTGGGTTAGGATCGGTTTTCTTTAGGTTTCCAAGTCCTAGTCGAGTATGATACTACTACGAAGTACGAAATACGTATTTTGTTGGAGTCTCCTGGGCTCCTTAGGACCCAGCTCATCCCTCAATCAACCACCTCTTCAAATCTGAGTTTCTACGTAAACAAACTTCTCTCGCGATTCACCAGAAGCCCTTGGATTGTACGCCTCTTGTTCTCAGAAAACTCGGCTGGTCGATCCGAGACGAGACCCCTCAATTGAATCGGTAAGCTCAATTTCTCCGTCCTTTATTTCTGTATTGCGTCAAGAATGTTCTATTTTAAGATCCATCTGCTTATACATAGATTTAGGAGTTTCTTTTCTCTTCTTTTCAGACACTGTTCTTGAAATTGAATCTGTTTGTTTCACAAAGATGGATGGGAACAAAGATGAAGCTTTCAAGTGCTTTGAAATAGCCAAAGATTCAATCAAATCCGGTAACAAAGAAAGGGCTTTAAAATTCTTGAATAAAGCTAAGCGTTTAGATCCAAACCTTAAAACCGATGATCTGTTGTCTAAAATTGAAGCTGAGAATGAATCTCCGAACATACCCACCAAAGAGGACTCATCAGGATCTTCAAAACCATCAGAAACTAGGGCTAGACAAAGGAGTTCAGTAAATAAGGAGCCAGGGTCGCCGTCATCTTCTTCATCTGAGAGCGGGGTTAGTTACACAGAGGAGCAAGTGGCAACTGTGAGAGAGATCAAGAGGAAAAAGAATTACTATGAGATTTTAGGATTGGAGAAGAGTTGCAGTATGGACGATGTTCGGAAAGCATATAGGAAGCTTTCTTTGAAGGTTCACCCTGACAAGAACAATGCCCCTGGGTCCGAAGAGGCTTTTAAGATGGTGTCTAAGGCATTCCAGTGTTTGAGTGACGAGGAGAATCGCAAAAGGTATGACCTTGTTGGGGAAGATGATGCGTCCACTTATGAGAGGCAAACAACTAGACGCCGCACTGGTGGTGGAATGAGGCAAGGGTTTTACTATGATGATGTGGACGCCGAAGAAATCTTCCGGAATTTCTTTTTTGGGGGAAATCCTGTAGCGACTACCCATTTCAGTTTCGGGCCTGGGGTTGGGGTCCGTGTCGGAGGACATAATGGGTCAAGCGGGCTTGCCCGAACCTTGGTTCAGTTTTTGCCAGTGATACTGATTCTGTTAATGAACTTTTTGCCTTCATCAGATCCTGTCTATTCGTTCTCGAGATCCTACCCTTATGAGCAGTTATTTACTACTCGCAGGGGTGTAAATTATTACGTGAAGCCTGGAAAGTTTGAGCAGGAATATCCTCCCAGCAGCCCAAAACGGGTGAAACTAGAGGACGGGATTGAGAAGGATTATTTCAATAATCTTGCTTATAACTGCCGTCTTGAAGTCCAACAAGTGCATTGGGGTTATAGACAGGCAACACCAAATTGTGATGCATTGAAGAAATTCCAGGCTATGGCTTCATATTAGCCTTTCTCTGCATTGCAGTTTTACCATTCCTTTTTACATCCTTTCTCTACATTGCAGTTTTACCATTCCTTTTTCTAGTACACAGATCGCAGACTCTGAATATAAACACACATTATGCTTGCCTTAAAATGATGTTAGTTCTTGGGAAGAGCTTCTGACTAGAAATAGATGAAGAATGCTTGTCCTTGAAAACGGATATGTCCTTGTGCTTAAAAATAATTTAATGGTCATTATGAGTCTATGACCATATTCTTTTGACAGTGTTTTAGCGTTTATGATGGCCTTGCAGGTAAGTTTTATGTCTGTTATAGTGTTATCTGTTTAGTATTTGTATCCTTATGTGATGTATCCAAGAGGTCATTTTAAGTTGCACCGGAAGCAAAGTGAAACATTGTTTTGTTCCGATGTAACTAGAACAGAAACACAGTTTTCAGCATGCTTCAAGTTCATCAACTACAGTGAGAGTAATTTGGATTGGCCCCTTCAAAAAAATTGAAACTTTGATTTTTTTTTGTACCAAATGATAACAGCTACTCCGTACAAACTATTACTCCGGGCTGCATGTGTCCCAGACTCCCAGGATGTTTATAGTTGGTTCACTATTAACTATTAAGGGATGTTTTTAATTTGTAATTGGATTTATTAGGTCTCGAATTATATTTAAACTTATTCGATAGACAAGATTTAGATAATTCGCTAGTAAAATACACATACAATCAAATGTTTATTACATAGTAGGGAGCATCCATCGACATTTTCCCATCCAAAAATATGACAATTTCTACCTTTTCCAAAAAGTGACCCATTCAAAACATACGGAGTATCCAGCGAACCATACATCGACATTTTCCCGAACGTCTCTCCATCTTCGCTCCTATCATCCATCGAACATCTCTTCTCTTTCTTTTCGTTCGACGCCCTTTGCCGCATCCTTTAGCTGTGCCATTGACTTGGTTGTCGTTGACCTCGCCACTATCTTCAACCTCGTCGTTGACCACTGTAGGAGTTGTCTGTGACCCAGTTGCCTCCCTACTCCACGCCGGATGCATGTCAGATCTAACTCTAACTGCTAGGGTTCACATTTTTGGGGAGGCGACGAAGCGTCTGAAAGATTTCACATTGGGATTGGGGTTCATTGGGGGTACTCAGATGGATTGAGGCGTGAATTGGGCCAGGGGAAGGTAGGGAGGGGGAGTAGGGAGGGGGTCGACGACGACAGTGGTTCGTTGGGTTGGTGGGTGGGGGGTGGGATGTCGGAGGAGGGTAGGCGAAGGGTGTGGGTAGCACTCATACAGGAGCTGGGGAGAGGGGTCTAAAGAGGGGGGAGGGGTGACCCGCCAGTGGACAATGCGGCAAAGGTGGTCACGTGAAGGTACAAGGCGACAATTACTGGACAGAGTGGGTGGCGGCGATATCACTTTGTCGGAGTCATTGTGTTCGAAGTTGGGTGCAGTCACTGTGGCCGGTGGGCGAGCAATCATTTTGTTCGTAGTCACTTTAGCCGGAGTCACTTTGTCACCGCAAAATATAATTGTGAAATTGGTCACATTCGACTACCTTCCCGCAAAGTAGTCACACAATCTGTGATCTATAAAAGTTTTCCTAACTTTTGCTTCCATATATGGGCATCACCCATTTATTTGCAAGAAATTGGCAACAAAAGAATGGGATAAGATTGGGGTTGAAAAGGGGGAGAAAAATTGGATTGAGGGCATTGAGAAGGATCCCAATGACAAAGAAAAAGAAAATGCTAAAGTGGGAATCATAGAGGAAGAGAAATGGATTGAGAAGAAGGAAGCGCCCCGGGCTGATTTGGCGGCCACCACTATTGAGATGACACTGCATGCCACGGTGGTAACCTCATCGGTAATGGAGTTCTTGGATACTGTTCCGAAGATGATGAATCTGACCCGAAAGGCTCACTTATGAGTGATGACGAAGAGCTTATTTTTGTAGAGTATTGGGAAAAATCAAACAACTAAGAAGGATGAAAAAAGAGAAAAAAGAGAAAAAACTGCAGCTGCTCCAATAGATCCTGGCTAAACGTTGTTGTGTTATGCTTTAGCGTTTTGTTCTATTTATTGCTTGTACTTGATTTACGGAGATAGTTGATTCACTGTGTTTTGGTGATTATGGGATATAAGTCATATAACCCATGTTTGTGATGCATTGTATTTAGGTTAGATTAGTCTAACTTAGATAGTCTTTCTTCTGATCTGGTTAGATTCATTGTATTATGTAAAAAAGTGAAATTTGTCACATTTTTGGATATGTAAAAAAGAGATCATATTTTTTTTATCCTCAATTTTGTAATATTTAGGACAAAATACCAATTTATAACTTATGTGTAAGAACCAAACTGAATCGAATTTTAACATTTCGATTCCAACTATTCTTGGGTGAGCCTTTTTAGGTGATTCCAAAGTCTCATCCCTTCAATTTGCCATACCCAGAGCTCGTTTGGTGAGCTTTTTTTCGGCTTATTAGACTTATCATCCAATTTTTTCACCAAATAAGTAACTTTTGATTTCACGCGCTGAATTGTGTAATAATAAGATAAGTAAGGTTGTAGTTACTTTTCTGACTGTATTGGCTGAAGTTACTGTAGATGATAATTTTAGCTAATTTTTAATATAATTTTTTCTTTATTTTATTAATAAAATATTATTAATATATAATTTTTCTATAAATCGGTAAAATCAACTAATACAGTCACTTCAGCCATAACTTCATAAATATCGTGAGAGACAGTCGATTCAACCGATTCAACGTTAGTAAACGGGTTCCCAATCAGCTGTTAATCTAGTGTGGTGCCATTAATGAGGAGTATTATAAAATTGAGGGCAATTGAGGCCATTACAAATTATTTACGGGGCAAAAAGCATATTTAGCCCAAACCGAAACCCTGGCAACTGCATACAGTGATACAGCCACACCATACCATACCACAACTTCATCGAAAGCCATAAAAACAACGTCCTCCTCCTTTGCCTGGCGCGCTGTGTTGTTGGGTTACTGAAACCCTCATATCCGATTTTCGGGTCCAATCTCTGCCGGCGAGCAGTGTTATGGCAGACATGTCTGAGGTGGCTGCTTCGACACATTACCAAATCGACCTCGGAAACCTAATGGCTTACAACCCACTTCACTGCTTTGCCTCGCCGCCCACTTCCAGGTCGCAGCTTTTTTCTTATGCCCACGCTAATTGAACAGCTTAGATGTATTTTGGACGCTTAGAGCGACTTTTAAGTTTTAAAAGAAAAAAAAGAATGTTTTTTTGGGGGGAGGAGGGAGGATAGTTCTGTTTCAGACTTTCAGCTCATGTTTTGTTTGATTTCATGGTCTGAAAGATTCAATTATGTCCGTTTGGTTGTAGAGAGAGCTAAGTAGGGAGTAAGGGTGTTTGGAACCGATCCAGTTTCTTTTTTAAAAGCAGAATCAAAATAATTTTTCAGAAACTGGGTTTGCTAAGGCTATGTGTTTGCTAAGGCTATGTTTGTCACATATTAGAGCTGCTTTTATAGACTGTTGTCTGAATTATAGACTATTGTCTAAATCAGAGACTATTTTCTGGAGTTAAATATTAAAGTGCTGAATATGAACTTTTAACCGGATGAGGTAGACCTGATTGGCAAAAAGAGCTGAAAAATTATAAGATTTATTAAAGGGCATACTAATTTATTAAAAGAACAAAATATTTATTACTCCCTCTGTCCCTTAAAGGTTTGACATGTTTGACCGGCACGTAGAATAATAAAGTAAAAACTGTGTGGTACAAATTTGTGCATAGTAGAGAGAAATAACAAGAGCCACAAATTGATTGATTAAAAGAGAAAGTGGCAAAGTTTTTGTGACAACCAAAAAAGGAAAGTTGGAAAAGTTATAAGGGACGGAGGGAGTATAAGATTTTCATATTTAATAAACATTAAAAATTTAGTAAATACTTCGTATTTATATACGTACATGGATATAGTTACATATATATAAACGTGTATAAATATTAGTATATTAAAATATTGATTAATTATAATGATTTTCATATTTAATTACTTATATTAAAAATCATTATATTTATTAATTATAATGATTTTCATATTTATTAATTATAATGATTTTCATTTTTATTAATTAGTGTATGTACGTACACACATATATATCATTGCCAGCTTCTCATTCTAATCAAGCTTGGTTGACTGCCTCAGACCCTCAACTGTGTGGTTGACCGTCGCTTAGAAGAGAAAAGCTTTTTTCTTGAGTTGCAATTTTCCCTAAGCAATTTCCCCTTTCAATTTATTAAGAATCTCACCGAATTGAGTTGTAATATTATAAAAATCAAACTCTAACTACAAGGAAGCAGGGCAGCTAAATAATACTAGTATGTAAATGAAGTGATGAAGATGCTACTATGACAGTCAAGAGATTGCTGACAGAGAAAGCGATCATCCAAATAAGGAATTATGCCGGTAAAGGGGTGAAAGATGCACTCATGCAGCGAAAAAAGAGAAGACGGGTTAATTTAGGAACGGAGGTCTATTATAAATACGGCTGAAGTTAGACGCTTCGTTTGCTAGCGTTGTAGTGCAGCCCGATTTTTTCAACTTCAGCCGCTTGTAATTTGTTATCCAAACACCACTACATTTGAAATTATTGACTGGATTTCATAAAATTCAGCTCATTAGGAGCTGAAATGGCTTGCCAAACATAGCCTAAATCTTGTACGTTTGAGTAATATTCCGAGTTTTGTAGAATTAAAGACAAATTACCGCACTTTTGCTCATGTGAATAGTTCATATTTCCTTTCCGCGCAAGTAGCGTTCTTTATGCCTTTCATTCCAAAGGAGAATATTAAAGGACTGTAATATATATTTCATTCCAAATCAGTAAAAAACCTACATTCTGGATAGTAAATTTCTGAGGCCTTTTCCTTGTTAATGTTGAATGTGTGCCAGACTGCCTGTATATACATGACAGAGTGAAACACTTGTTAAGGGTATAACTTGCACTGGATGGGTTGTCTTTGTGCCCAGTGAGTGCTCATAAATGCACTTACCTGTTTCATATGGTATCCTTCAGTACATGGTTTTCATGCACCCCATCAGGCCATCAGGGTGGATGCCGCCCGTGGTCAGGTCAATAGAAATCCTTTTTTTCCTCTGAGCCGTAATGGTCTACAACACCAGGATACCAAAATTTAAAGATACCATATTGAGCCTCTCATTCACAGCATGTTTTGGGAGATATGCAACTATACATGCCACTGGTTATCTGTATCTATTGGCAGTTCATCACTATTTGTTGTTCTTTCTGACCAAACTCTTAGAGATTAGTATTATACTCTCTTTTTTCTTTTTTTCTACATGAATGGTACTTAGTCTCAATTTATTGGAGGTTTAGTTTGAAATGCTCTCTGTGTTGGTCATGTACTACACATAATCACCATTTGACCATTTCCATAATTATGAGCATGTGCTTCCGCCTAGCTGATTAGGAGTCGGTCTGCCATTTTTCATCCTGATTAGTAAGATTACTTCATTCTTGAACTCATGAAAGCTTAGTTGTTGAAATAATATGACTTGATGTTCCAGTTGAGTTGTTGGGCTGAGATTAAATTTCATAAAACCACTTAAAAAAGACTTTAATGCAGGGAGGAATTGGCACAGGAGGTCTTGAAGGAGGGAACTAGATTAGTACAAGCAGTGGCTGATTCCCTTTTCAATTTACCTTCAACAGAAGACCGGGATGGTCCCGTTGTCAAGTTGCCCCCACCCAGAACAAGATTGCCAAGAGCAAAACCTGTATGCCTGTTCAATTCTATTTCGTTAGATTTTTTAAATTCCAAAAGCTCTTGCTATTATCAAATTTTGTGCTGTTTTAGTCCTTTAGATATTTTGTGTTTGGAACTTTTTTTAAAAAATTTGGCTGTATGTGACTCTGTTATGTTGGTCCTCCTGTTAGAATCAGCTTTAGAAAAATCCACTATTGGTCCTCCAAGTATTATATCAACACTGGATATGTGTCTTTGATTTTGTCCGTATTTGGTACATAAACATTGTTCCTTTCCTACCCATGATCCTTCTGAGTTCTGACTACATAAACGGTGCTTAAAATCGCCTAAGATGTGCCGGAAATATAGCTGGAAGGACCAAAGGTGGGCAAGGAAAATGGCCAAGTACCCAAATGTTGGCAAAATCAAAGAAATGGACCTAATGTGAGATAGACATAATATTTGTAGGAGCAAAGGTGGAATTTTTTCTTACTTTTATCCTGCAATCTTGATTGAATTATTTTTTCTTTATAATGTTTTAAAAGAAACATTCTCACTTGAATTTCAGTTTCCAAAGCCTATGCCTCCAACAAAATGGGAGCAGTTCGCCAAAAAGAAAGGTTTGTCATTGCAAATGTCAGATGTGTTGCATGATTTATTTTTTAGATTAAAAAATCTTAAACTTGATAAATTTACATTTCCACAGTACAATAATTATTTACCTCTATCACAATTTCCCACAGGAATAAAGAACCACAAGAAAGTGAAGTTTCTTTTTGATGAACAAACTGGTACATGGAAGCGCCGATGGGGATATGATCGTGTAAATGATGACAAAGATATAGCAATTATTAAAGCAAAGGATACTGATGGTACATGTTTTTGTTTCTTGCATTTGATATCTTGTTATGCTTCGAGCATGAAAGGCTGTTAAAAAAAATCTTCCATGGTTTCAATAAATTAATGAAGGATGAAACTATGAAAGTATCTTTTGAAAAGTGGATGTGACCTTTCAGTACTTGTTGCATCCAAGGATGAAAATATCCTGATATTTCCACCAAAGTTTCCGAATTCTGGGGTCACTGATATTGTTATCTAAAGTAGCAGAGTTTCTCTAGGATCTCAAAGAAAATCTGGACTATATATTGAATTGAAATATAACAAAACATTTTAATTAACTATCAAACAATATCGAAAAAATATATCTGAAACATCAGTAATATCATTATCCTTTCTCAAAAAGGCTTGAAAAACGTAGTCTGTTTTTTCCAATAAAAATATATGAATATCAAAATATCCAATTATATTTCCATCAGTTCAAAGTACCAATATACCAGTATATCCACAAATACTGATATTTTTATCCTTGGTTGCATCTCCAAAATTGGAGACTCATAGAAATTTCAAATGAGAAGTAACCATGATCATATAGCTCTTAGTGAGGTTGAATTATTAATTATCTATAATCCATCAGCAATTTACAGCCTACACGTCAAATCATTAATTATTTAATTAATAATTTGCTTTTGAATAATAATGGAATAAAGCTCACAATGTGACGATCCTTAGATTCATGAGGTTGTCCTCTCAAGTGGCTTCTTAGATGAACAATCATTTTCATATCTTCTCTGTTTTGCAAAGGAACAAATTGCAAGTAAAAAAACTATGAATTTCTCAAGCATTACTTTTTTTTAGCTATTTTCCTTAATTATCAAATTGGCATCTTTTCTAGAACCTGGAGAAGATCCTTTTGCCAAGAGACGACAAGAGAAGAAGAAGAGAGTTGAAAAGCAAGAGAAAAATAGATACCAAAACTTAAAAGATGCTGCAAAAGTTGGTGCATTGCCAAGGTCTCGCTCTTTTCTGTCTTGTCATGCTTCATTTGCTTATTTTCTTTATCTGGATTTTTCTTCATATGTTGTAAATTAATGACCATTCTGCCCCCATCTCTGAATAAGTTACTCCAATGCAGCCATGTTCAGCTTGCCGCTACTTCGTTACCGATAACAGGGACACAGACTGTGCCTAGGAAAGTTGGCAAGGTTGAGCTAGGAAATGTTGCTGGAATGGCTGCAACTGCAACTGCTAGCGGTGGAAAATTTGACAAGAAGTTGCCAGGAGAAAAACCCCTTAAACATGACAAGAAGTTTCGCAAGGTATTTTTTTGTTAAAATATGTTTTTAATCCCTTCAATTTGCCCCATCTCTTCAATTTATGTTTTTCCTTGTTAATCCCTTTTCGACTCTCGGATACCTTTTAACAAAATAAAAAACTGATATGACAATCAGAATTTCAGTGTTTCTTTATTATGTCATTTTTTATATTAAAAATACTCTGAAGTTTTAAGTGCAATTATTAAATCCATGTTAATTTTTTGCTAACCTGAGGTTGTGGGAGATGGATTAAAAAGACAATATCATAAATTGCCAAAATGAATACTCCGTATTATAGAAATTATATATTGCAGGAATGAAGATTGAAGAACATGTTTATGCCTTTTTATCAATTACTGTCCTACTTATTCGTCTTGCTTGTTGTGTTGCTGAGTAATGTTGTATTGATGAATTCACTTGTCTCTTCGTTTTTGCTTCTAGTTTCTGCCTGTTGCAGAAGGATCTGGAATGGGCTCTCTAGAAAGACAGCAAACTGATAAAGTTCTCAACAAACTGTTGTCAAAAAATTCACATGAAATCCTCAATGTTAACAAGGTCACTTTATCAACTTCATCTCAACAAACTGATAGTTTCTGCCTTCCCCCTTCCCCTTCTCCATATGTATCCCTTTTACCTCACTTTATCAACTGGCTTCTATAGCCTGTTTTAAACTCATTTCTTCGCTTGTTTGTTTGCATGGGATATATAGGCAGTAAGCGTGTACAATGTGAAAAAGCAGAAGGGGGCACGGAATGACCGAGAAGGGAAGAAGTCATCAAGCGCAAGCAAGTTAAAGCCGAATAGCAAACCTATAAAGAAAAATTTCACCAAGAAACCAGAAACAGGAAGAAAGTCCAAGTGAATTCGATCATCTAAGCAGTTGCCAAAAATCACTTGAGTTTTGGAGATTTTCTCGTCTCGTCCACACCACCCTGACTTTCATCATAGTAGTTTGTAGTCAAAGCTGAAACAACGAAAAAAAATCCAGAACATTGTCTTCATTTGATGCACCTGTGTGACATGCCTCATTGTATTTTTTTTTTTGGTTGAATTTTATAGCTTTTCTTGACTTCTGGCTAAATTTGTTTGAATTCAAATACCGCTGGCGCAAAGGCTCTTATCTACGGTGGGGTAAGGGGGAATGGATACTAAGCCTTACAAATAACCGTGTTCTAGTACAGAGAGATTATTTCTGAATAACTCATAATAAAAATCGCGTCGAAAATTGCATGGATTGTTTGTTGTTTTATAATAAAGAAGACAATTTAGTGAGTCATTTTTGTATTATTTGATCATATTTTCAAATCAGAAACAGGGTTTTATTGGCATTGTAATTCTTCTTTTGCCAAGTATTTTTACTTTTATTTTCATTATCAAAAACAAAGCATTAGCTGAGATTTTTTTTAAGATACCTTTGGGAGTTTGGTTTCAAAAATGAAGAAAGGTTGAAGTGAGTTTATGAGTTATGACCCTCCCTTTTTATTTGGATATTTAAAAATTTGGAAGAGTAACAATAAAAATCTTTCAAATATTCAATTTTGAAGTTCCTCCAAATGGGCCATTTTGAAAGATAATAAGTTAAATAGTAATTTTAGTCCTATTTAAAGTGAATATAAATTCAATGATTTGAATTCGCTATATATCTTGAATGATTTTAATTATAATTCTTATGTAACATCTCTTTTTCCAAATTTGCAACTTCCAACAAAAAAGGACTTTATTACTTTCTCTCTCCTCTAGCGTCAAATTTCGGAACGTTGTTCTTGGATCATAAATAAGGTGGTACAAGTCTTATTAATTGGTTTCTTACCATAATTGGTTACATTTAGTCCTAGTTTTTTATTCACATTTTTTTAATTCGATATCAATTATACTCGTATGAATTAAACTAGATATAAGCAAATTCTAGTATAAACTGAAAAGTTGAATTGAACCATATTGATTTTCAAGATGTGAATCAAACTTTGATTTTAAAGGTTTTACAAGTTTCAATTCTCATATGACCAAATCAGTAATTTAGTTGTGACGGATTTCAGAACTTAAATTTCAATGATCGTTTTTATTTATTTTGTGACAACATTTCAAAAAATAAGCGCATGTACCTTGCCTGCACTTTTACAAGAGTAGAATGTTATGGCTCACATAGATTAAGAGCTAAGAGCCTAAGAAAGCGAGAGAAAGATTAGAAAATCATTAGGTTCCAGAGGTCGTGATCAAAATTGTACTCCCTCTATCCCAGTTAAATCTTGACGTTTGCTTTTCGCAATTTCGCATGGTGTTATAAGGGACCAATTAATAGAAGAACAAATGTCCTTCATGCCATTTGATTTTGGGGGGTAATTAATGTTTTTCAATCAAATGTAAAAAGTGAGTTATAGTGAAGGGTAGTTAGAACATTTAATGTAAAAAGAGTTGTCTAAAAAGAAAATGTAAAGATTTAAATGAGACGCTCCAAAAAGGAAAGTGTAAATATTACTCCGTAAAATGGGACGGAGAGAATATCAATCTATCTTGGGTTTTCAGGTTTTGGAGATTCCAATTACAGTTCAAACCAAATTACGATTTTGTCATAAACCAATTACAACTGAATCTCTATTTCTTTAATTTGTATAAACACATATGAATTTCGATGAAGAAGACTCATAGACAATGTATGTTCAAAATGTAACCACTTCTTTTGCTTAACAGCCAAAGCCAACTTAGGATCTCCGCATGTTTTTTGTCATTTGTTGGCACAAGACATAAAAGAAAACACCAAAACCTAAACTTCTAATCAACCAATGATTCATCGGACTTCTAATGAAAATGCGACACGATTAGAGAGTGAATTTAACTTTGCACTTCTCCATTACCCCGGTCCTTTTCAGCAGTGGCTGCCATTATTTCGTCGAACTTCTCACTCTTCTCAAGCATTATCTCAATCTACATAGGAAAAAGTCCAGACATGTAAATAAACTTAAGATTTAGAAGTCCTTACCATGCCTTATATAGGTCATATTCAAATTCAAATACTGCGTATATCAAGATCATAAAATATAACTTACTTTGGCTTTTGAAACTGGTCTTCCTCTTGAATCGTCTTTGACATCAACAGTTGATGTCATAATCTCTGTGGAGGTTAGCACTTAGAGGCATAAACATTTTTGGGGATAAATAGTAAATGAATAGATAAGTCTAGCTCTGCAGGTAAAGATTGAAGTACTTATTTCCAAAAACAAATTCTTTTTCTTTTCATTTTTTTTGGCGAAAAAAGGGAATCCTATAATTCTCTAACAATCGGCAAACACTTACTCTTCTCAATAGCAAATCCATTATTTTTCAAGATTTCAGCCACAGAGACCACCGTTGCAATAGCTACAAAGGAAAAATGCAAGGAAAAGCATCAAAATGGTGCAAAGAAATGGGGAAAATGCTGCTTGGAATATAGCCATAGAGAATCCAAAACAACATTTTGCTCCAATACAAATGGAATATCAAGAATCATTTCCTACACCAACATCATTTAGGATATACATTCTTCCTTTACACAATACCTAACAGAGGAACAGCATTAACAATACAGAGGTTCCATATCATCACCTTAGACTCAACTTATTGAGCTTGGTGGCATTAAATTCACAATGCCATATAAAGTTAGTTAACACTGTAGTTTTATGCAGAAAATATAGCATCAATGTGACACAGCCACTAGATTGTGCGTTACAACCGTTTTTAATTCCAAATCAGAAAACTCCTAATTATACCCCTTAAAGCAAAATCTAATCAGATTAATAAATCAAATTCCATGTATGGCTATTATTTTTTATAGGTTCTTAGATATGGCCATAAGTTTGTTACACGATGTGATTTATCATAAACAAATCGGTACATATAATATTAATAACACTATCACTTCATATATAATTTAATAACTGCGGGACAGTAGTGAATAAGCAATGCAACACTTCTCAATAACTAACACTTCTAGACCAAACCAAAGTACAATGCTTTTAAGTACATATTTTAGATTTAAATGCATGAAATGTGAGAATGCATAGTAATACTGCTAACTAAAATACACAGTGCATACACAAATGTCATAATCAGACACCAACTCTGGTAAACAGAACCTGAATAGCAATTTCAGAGAGGCAAGTGAAGCCATACCCATTCCAAGAGCAGAAAGCTCCACCTCATTGTACTGCTGCATATACCTCTGCGTAAAACACAGATGAGAAACACCAATTACACACACCGTAGCAAAAATTCATCCACATTACACTATTGCGCATTTCTATCTATTCCCAGATACACGCAGAAATACAATCACTAGTCTTTCGAATCCAGATCCGGAAATTAAAAGTAAAACGATTCAAATTCCTGGAACATGATATGCATTACATACGCATAAATGTGATGGATTATACCTTGGCGAGATTGACATAGAAGAACAAAGGCTTCTTGGAACTGGAGACCTGAATGCGATTCTTCTTCTGAAGCTCACCGGCGTTAACGTTGATGTTGCTGACTCCCTCCGTTATCTCCTCCATTGATGCTTCTTGATTGGTTCCCACAAATAAACTGCCCTGTCTCTGAACCTAGAACCAGACAAATAATAAATTTCTGATTATTTTATCGGAGATTAGGCTATAAGCTTTGGATGGGATTACGCTTGAATAAGAGGTCTCGTATTTTATTTATTTTTTAACCTAATATCACAAATAAGCAGGCGAAAAAGCAAAAAAAAAAAAAAAAAAAAAAACTCCGTACCTAAAAACTCCAAGTTGGTTCGCAGGTTATGGTTCACAAGGTTAGCTCTATAATGATGGTTTTTCATCCCTTTGGTTGTTACTACGTTTTTGTGAAGCATGATTGAAGAAAATAATAATGATAGTGACTCGCTGAATTGTATCAAAAATGTAAAAAGTGAAAACTAGTAAATAAAATGGAATGAAACGGAAAATGAAAAAAAAATATAAAAGTAATATAGAAGAAATGAGAATTGTGGAAATATAAAAGAGGAGGAATGAAAAAACTAGAAAAATGAGAATGGAAAATTTAAAACAAAAAAAAAGTTAAGATAGAAAAATGAATTATAAAAAACATGAATTCTCTTTTAAATTACAAGTTCTATAATACGACCTAAATCTCGCACGCTCAACTGCAAACAAAAACTCGTCCAAATACAAGTTCTCCAACTTTTTGTACCCGTGTGATAACATTGAAATTGGTTGAATTGACTAAATCTGCTTAAATTGATGAAGTTTTAATTGAAGCAGTTGCATCTGCTGAATTATGGGAAAAAATATTTAAAATCTATTTGATCAATAAAAAAAAGAGCTTTTTAATGAAAAATGGCTAAAATGTAGGTTCTATACAAAAAATTTAACCAATTCAACTAGAAAAGTAACACCAATTTTATTTATTTTGATTATTGTACAACTTAACGCACAAAATCAAAAATTACGTGTTTGGTGAAAAATTGATCGATAAAAAAAGATGAGCCAAAAACAGGGTCACCAAACAAGCCACATATTTTGTTTGTTTAGAATAAACTGCTATTTATAGCCAATGTTGAAGGCGAGTTTTTTTTGCATTAGGTGTTGTGCTATTGAATGGAGAAGAAAAGTTGGAGTGGAAAATGAAAAACATGCTTTATATGATCTATTGAAACACTTCAAACTTTGAGATTGCAAACCCCCATGAGAGTAGGCCAAATGTAGTATGAATAGAAATGTTATTTCATGATTGTCTTTGTTTTGTTTAGCATTACATCATTTTGTTGTAACAAGAGTGTCCTAAAACTTTGTACTGAAAGTTTTAGCTTCATATTTGTATGTCCTAAAACTAAATCATCAATGACAACTTGAAAACTCAAGAAGGTTTTAGCTTCACATCTTCAAAGTACTAGAGTACATATTACTCCACCCATTAAACTCACTCTATTCTATAGGCAAAGCGCCAATGTTCAGTACTTGTTAAAATCCTGCAAACAAATCATCAAAGAAAAAGTACCAAACTAAAACAGCTTTGGCACCTTAAAAAAATAGCTTTGGGTGACAAAATAAGACAGGTGGTCTTTTGCATTAACTAATCACCAAAAAAGAGGCTACATCTCCTCTACATAGTAACCAGTTTTAGAAGCTGTCATTACAAAAAGCAAAACTATCCAGTTAGATTGGAACAGCCTCTAATTGGTGGGCACATATATTCCTCAAAATGAAACAACCCCAAAAGATATGTGTATGACTATACCCACCAATATATTATATATATAGGATAATTTTAAGGAGAATGACAACACAATGCCGACTGAGGACTTCAAACCCAATCATTGTCAGTAACGGAAAGCTGCTGAAAGGCATGGTTGTCTGGAGCATAAGAATAAGAACCCACTTGAGAATATTCAGAATAGCCACCACCATTGAAAGGGGGTGCCCCATAGGTAAAAGGAGTGGTGGTAGTGTTAGCAGCAGTGTAGTCATCATAGTAAGGAGTAGTGTTTTCAGATCCATTTCCGTAGCCTCCACCACCACCATAACCATCACCGTTACCACCGCCATAACCACCACCATAACCATCACCGTTACCACCGCCATAACCACCACCATAACCACCACCAGATCTGTTATTTTTCCGATAGCCGTTGGACCTGCTGTCACCCCCATATGGATTCTGAGAAGCATAGTCATTAAGCCATTGTGGTATCTCTTGATTGGCTCCCTGCATTAACTCAACGAGATCCTTTGCGATGCCTGCATTTTGAGCAGTGAAGAATGCTGTTGCCAGCCCGGATTTGCCAGCACGCCCCGTCCTGCCTATCCTGTGAACATAGTGCTCTATGTTCCTTGGCAAGTCGAAATTTATCACATGGGAAACGTTTGGAATGTCAAGTCCACGTGAAGCCACGTCTGTTGCGACTAAAATTGGCGTTCGTCCACATTTGAATGATTTCAATGCTCTTTCCCTTTCCTTCAAATCCCATAAACCCAAAAAAAGTTTAGTTCATTGTTTTTTTACAATCACAAGGTAAAAGATCAAACACCTGCAATCCATACAACAGTATGCTTGTTTTTTCTACTATTTCTTGGTTCGACATAATTTATACACCCACTTAGTTAGTAAAGAGAGCTTCATAAACGGGATCAAAACACAACCATACAATTATTTAGACAGAAATAACATTTAAAGAAATAGAACTGATTTCACTTTTAAAAGAAGAACTATTAGCTATTTAATATGTAGTATCTCTTTTTTAGGGATGAAAGAGTACTAATCGTTTAGCACAAAAATAATATTTGATGTGCAAAATTTAAAGCTCATCTCGTGAAAAATGACCACATGAAATGTATATTTAGTATATTTAGCGTTCAGCTTTCACCTTCTGAGGGAAAGAAGCATTATATGTAGTACTATTTATCAAAATATTTAACGGAGACTTTCTTAAATCTTAACTAACTCATACCAACTACAGCTCTATTTCAGTTTAAAAAACCAAACACGTAATAGAAGCATGGACACAAGAAGTGGCTTGAGCATGAATACTTGTTTTCAAAAGCATGTGAACTTTTAAATAATACCATGACATTGGTAACTGTATAACAGTGTTGGTAACATATTTATCCTAAAAAGATCCAATAGGAATATAATTAGTCATATTTACAGAAAAATCCCTTATTATCTTGATTAGAAGGAAGGAGAACAAATAAAGACAAACCATCTGCTCTTTATCACCGTGAATGGCGACAGCTTGGAAACCAATTCTTGACAGCCAGTGTTCTAATATATCAGCTCCCCTTTTGGTCTCCACAAACACCAGTGTCAAACTCTGTCACAACAAAGGTCAAATGCAGTTTTTATCATTCCAGCAGATGTATGAGTATAATAACCAAATGATGATATATCTAATATGAAAAGTGACATAAATGTAGTGTTTCAGTTACATTAGCAGTTTGCTCCTGAAGAAGCTTCCTCAGAAAGTCCTTCTTGTCTGGCTCTTGAACAAACTCAACCTTTTGATCGATCCGATCAGTACTGGACCCAACTTTTCCAGCAGACAAGAAAATGTAATTTGAAAGAAACTCTGCTGCTAGACGCTGCAAGACTTCAAAGTAAGTCGGTAAGAGACTAATAAATCTTTTAGCAAAGATATCATAAGATCACTTAAAACAAACCAAAGCATTAGAGTAATGCTAGCGATATGTGAGGCTGGCCTGTATCTCAGCAGGAAAAGTAGCACTGAAAAGCATGGTCTGCCTCTTTCCAGGTGGAGGCATGTCCTCAAGTATGGACCGGACTTGGCGCTCAAATCCCATGTCAAGCATCCTGTCAGCCTCATCCAAAGCCAAATACTTTATTCCTCTCAATGAAACTTTTGATCTCTCCATCATATCAACCAACCGTCCAGGGGTGGCAACTAATATGTCAACGCCTCTCTCAAGAACTCGCAGCTGCAACATGTAATCACACTATTAGTTTCAACCTACTTGGCCTATATTTGGGAGTTGGGTTTTGGAGGGAAAAGTTAGGAGGGCTTAGTGTGCATCCTCAAAAAACAGAACATTTAAAAAAGAATAAAAAGTGATCGACATGATATACGTTTACATTATGTGAATTATTACATAAAATATCAAATATATACCAAGATATAGAAGAAGACCTCCTAATCACTTTAACCAAACAGACCTTTAGGAGTTCTAGTACTCATCATATTACAAAAAAAATCAAGAATAACCAGTTATATATTCGATTAGATAAAACTAGCAAGACAATATTTTAGCACATGCTACTCGGGCAAACTCCTGTCGTTTAACACAAAATAGACAATGTGCAACTAACTTGATACTAATCCACTGTGATAAAGTAAATGAAAGACCAAGAAAAAGGGTATGCATGAGGGTAGCTTTTATATGCAAACCTGTTGAAACATGGGGGCCCCTCCATATGCAACAGCAATCTTTAATCCAGTCTCATGAGAAAACTTCTTGGCCTCATCATGTATCTGCACATTCAAATCCCCAGAGGCATCAGCTTGCATATATGATTAACGATGGTATGAAGATAAGTAGATCACAGGGAAAACAGTAAAAAAATCACTAGGGTGAAAGTTATGGCCATTAATCCATTATCAATCATACGAATACATGCAGAAAACTGCAGCTAGAACTAATACTTGAAGAAGCGAGGTTAATACTACTTATCTAGAATCATACGGTTTCGCAGGTACACCATTATACATATGAGTAAGCAAGCGAAACATAAAAACGGGGAAATGAATAAATTGCAGAAAGGGGTCAAATCTGGTCAACCTGACAAGAAAGCTCTCTGGTGGGAGCCAGAATGAGAGCGAGAGGAGATGCGGCGCCTCTGGAATTCGTGGACCCTCCTCTTCTACCGTCGAAGTTGTCGTTAAACCTTTCAACCTGGTTTGTGAGAATAGCATTGATTATAGGGAAGCAAAACGCGGCTGTCTTGCCGGAGCCAGTTTGAGCGCAAGCCATGACGTCCCTCCCGGCCATCGCTACCGGAATGGCGTACCTCTGAATAGGCGTCGGCTTCGCGTACTTGCATCTGGTGATGTTCAGTCTGAGCGGCTCGGAGAAGTCGAGCTCCGAGAACGACGTCACCGGTTTAGGAATATCAGTCCCCGTCGTCTCCACGGGGACGTCGTCGTACGCTTTTGAGTTCGGTAAAACCTCCTCGTCGAGATCATCAACATCCCAAAACGGGTCCGGGTCAGAGCGCTCACAGAAAACCGGAATGACAGGACGGTTGAACCCACGTCCTCGACCACCGCCCCCGCTACGGCCTCTCCCGCGGGCAGTCCCGCCGCGAGTAGAACGGTTGAAACGCTCAGTGGAGTCGGGAAAGGCATCTGGGACGGGATTCCGAGAGTGGGGAGGTTGGTACATGCGGCGAGGAGCGCGAGAAGGATTAGTGGACTCGGAGTAAGAGCCGTTCCAAGGACGAGCTGCCATTTTTTGCTGTATAGAGAGCAGAAAATGAGAAAGGGGTTTTACAGAGAAAAAGTACGGGAAGGGTAAAAATGCTGGAAATGGGTACGGGAAAAACTAAACGACGGGAGACGCCATGGCTGGAGCTGCTGTTACGGTGATGATGATGTGAAGAAGAGGTGAAGGGGAAGGAGAGCGGCGACGATCAAAAGGAGAGGGAGGGTGAGAAATAGGGTTTTAGAGAGAGAGGGGTGGAGGGTGATGATCATGAAATGCGATGGCCAATGGGGTTTAGAGAGAGAAATTCCGATGGAGTGGGAGTGGGAAGGGGAGTGGGAGAAGAAGGTGGTCTGGTCTGGTTACATGGGGAAGAGGGAGAGTCGAGACTGAGTGTGTAGTGTAATACAGTTTTAGAAATGTTTATCCCCAATCTCGCTACTCTCGCGCGTCACCTCACCTCCATTTTACTCTATCTTTTACAAAAATGATGTTTGTACGATTGTACTCACTCTTATACTCATTTTTGTAAAAGCTTTTTTTGTCCTTAAACATTGATTTACAAACATATTTTGCACAAACAAAATATTATTTGTGAATCGGGTTCACATATAAAAAAACTTTACAAACATGATGAGTATAAGGTGCGTATAAGGTTGGGTACATCTGGTTTCAATTTTAGACTTTGCTCACCATAGTTTTAGAATAGGGGCCTATTTGCTCACCAAAGTTTTAGACTTTGCATACTTTGATTTGAGTGTAAAATGAGAAAAGTAAAAATTATATGGTACATATTACTCCCTCCGCCCCTTAAAACTTTGTCATCTTTTCTTTTTGGAACGTCCCAAAAAACTTTGTCACTTTCCTTTTTAATCAACTAGATTCTCACCCGCGCGATGTGTGGGATATTAAAATGTAATAGCAATACGACATTATTTTTAAATGTTATTTGATTGTGTGAAATGAAAGGAAACTGTCATATACGTAACATGCATAATAAAATCTTTTTAAAGATGACATAGTGAAAATTCGGAGATAGGTAGTAAGCATGTTTTGGAATAAGCAGAAAAAATGAAACGTTATATAGGGTTTCACAACCTACACATTGTGAAAAACTTCCTTATAAACTACATTGGTCGTATGGTTAGTTGGTTGGTCATCTTCATTGCAGATCAATATCTTCAAACCCTTAGGATTTGTTACCCTTGACACTGCAACATACAGTTGACCATGCGTGAAGACCGACTTTCTCAATAAAAGTCCCACATGAGACAAAGATTGTCTCTGACTCTTATTTATAGTCATCGCATAAGAGGTCATCACTGGAAATTGTCTTCTCTGAAACTTGAACGGTATTCTTGAATCCGAAGGAGTTAAGCTTAACCTCGGAATGACAACTTCATGCCCAGCATATTTTCCGCCCATAATTTTAGCCCCTAAGATGTGAGTTTGATGTGCACTTGTCGTTAGGTGCACTAAAAATAAATACAATACAACGAATATACGTAGTATAACGAAGTAAGGTTCGTATCCACATGGAAAGGAATACTTTTCTTTTATATAAGTAGTAACAAGGGGGGTTTAGATTTGTTTGATTTAAAAACACTAAGATAAACAACCTATATGAGTTTAATTCAATGAGATGAGGACTTGGTTTTGCTTTTATCCACTTAATGAAATGTTCGTCGATCCCGGTTATATCTTTAACTATCTTCCTCTCGAATACTCAATCGAGGAGTATATCCAGTTCATCGAGGGTAGTTATTAATAACGAGATGCGTTCATTAATAAAACTTACTATCGAGTCAATATAGAACAAGCGCCGTATATTAACTTGATAGTAGCAATCAACTTAAGATGAAAACGATTGAGATTGATAACCTCAACACAAGCGGTTTATTGGTTTAATCAATACAATTAATTCCCCTTGGCATATTAACCATGAGATGCATGCATTAATATTCCAAGTTTACTACCGTTGAAATAACCGGATTAATAACAAGCGTATTAACCGATTGATTCTAGTAATAACTAATATGAGAAACAAAACTAGTTGATACTTTAAGTAATGTTTAAAATATTAATATGAAATATGAATAGGAATTAATTAATATTCAAGGAAGAAGATTAAAGAAAATAACTCACAACTTACAAATTCATTAAGCTTCAAAGTAGCAAAACCAAGATGGAAGAGTTTAGCTCCTCATTTGGAGACTAAACATGATGAAAAATATAAAGAAAGAGCTATTCTATACTGAGCTTAGATGTACAAAGGAATTGGATATCTTTGTGTGAAGGAAAGGAGGTGTATTTATAGGCTTTTGGGATGGGATTCGGGTACTCGATCGGGTATATACATGGTACCCGATCGAGTATGTGTGTAATACTCGATCTGAGGTATACTCGACCGGTTTCAGGCTGTTTTCCATAAGTATACCCGATCGGGTATATATTAATACCCGGTCGAGTATGCTTAGAAAATGGTATTCGGACCATACTCGACCGATCTTCGTTTAAAACTCAAAGGCATACCCGATCGGGTATGTCGGTCTACCCGATCGGGTATAGACATTAAATCGTGGCCGAAATCTTCCCGGCATGTTCCCTTGTCTTCGGATCTGATCCGATTTGAAGTTCCAACCTAATACCCGATCGAGTATAGTTAATACTCGACCGAGTATAGACCAAAATTCAGGATCTTCTTTTGTCTTCAAATTTTTGCACCTTCTTTCCACTTTTTGGGTTCACCAACTGTACTTCGAGTGATCAAGACCTGTTTGAGCTCAGAATATATCTAATCTAACCTATTTACAAGAATTTAACAAACTAATCTATTACACCAAAAGTGTGTAATTTCCATAGTAAAGATCAAGCAAAACTAATTAAAAACACAAACATAAATATGGAAATTACAAACGTATCAACTCCCCCACACTTAAACCTTTACTCGTCTCGAGTAAGATCAAATGTTCACAAGTGTCAAGTTTCTCCAAAAGTTCCACAGTTCAACAAAAAAAACAACATACAAACACAAAGACCACCAAGGATGACAAAGAAATAAAAATGAGTTTTAAACTCAAATTACAAAGAGCATCTTGGGTTTAATGGCCTTCTAGTGTTATCTTCTCTTCTCCTCCTCTCTTCTTCTTTATCTTCGATTTCTGAATCTTCTTATTCTTCACAGGGATACAATGAGTGCCTGCAAAAACAAACATTTCTCTCATATCTCTCATTTTGCCTAGGAGCCTTTTCAGGTTTTCATCCTAGCATCTCTTTTCATTTTCCATTCTCCCCAACTCACTCATTTTTTTATAAGCCCTTTTTGCTTAGATTGCCCATTTTGTTGGGTTTTCAACCTAACTAGCATTTTTTTATTTTTTTATTTTTTTATTTTTTTCTTTTTTTTGTGTGTAAAAGTTCAAAAGAATTACATGCATAGTGCTAGGTGGAAATAAAAATTACATACCATCATGAGTGTCTCCCCCGCACTTGAATCAAGCACTGTCCCTAGTGCCCGCCTTCTCCTCCGTAGTAACTCCCTCTGAAACCGCTCCCTTGGCCACCATCTCCCATATACGTGTCCCCGCCATCTGCGCCGTCGTACCCTCCACCCCCGGAGCCAGATCCTCCAAAGTTACCCCAATGAGTGGGGTCATACCACGAGGGTGGTGGAGGGGGGTTCGCCATGGTATGGAAGGATCCCTGGTGTGCCATATAAGAGTACATAGGTCCGTAGAACCTACGATGGTCTTCCTCATACCGATGTCTATCGGCCTCCCTGAGCTCCTCCAATCGCTGAAAACCGGCTCTTTGCTCCTCCTCTAATCGATTTAGCCGGTTGTCCATTTGGGCGTATCCCGTAAACAGTTGTTGTTGACCCTCCAGAAGTTGTTGAAAGAAGTCAGGTGGTGGAGGGTTTTGGCTTTGTTCGGGGATGTCCTGGCCCATGTTTTGATGGCTATGGAGTTGAGAATAGGGCTCGTAAGCGGGTGCGGTGTTCGTTGTCCATGAAGATGATGTCCTCGTAGCCCGGGATGGATGCCCTAGTGTTGGAGCTTTGTCCTTTCTCCTTCCTTGGAGCCATTTTTGAGTGAATTTGGCCTTGAAATCCGAAATTTGAAGGGGGGTAGGGCTTTTTTCGGACCTCTGAAAACTGGGGGAGAATTGGATTGGTGAGTATGAGTGTGTAGAGGAGGATGAGGGGAGTGTTTTGGTGTTGAAATGGGATGATTTGGTGAAGAAATGGAAGAGATATGGTAGAGAGAAGGTGTAAAAATGGAGGTTGGGGGCGTTTTGTTCGAATTGGGGTTGGGGATTGTGGGGAAGATGAAGTGTTTGGGGCTGATTTGGGGTTATAATGCCCGTATACCCGATTGAGTATGTGCTGTTACTCGGTCGGGTATGTCTGGAAAGTGGGGTTTTTGAGCAGCCTGCCTCCGGTACTCGATCGGGTATGTGATGTTACCCGGTCGAGTATTGCTGGAAAGTTTGGTTTTTTAGCAGCCTGCCTCCGGTACTCGATCGGGTAATGTGTTGTTACCCGGTCGAGTATTGCTGGAAAATGAAGTTTGCGAGTGGTCTGCCTCCGGTACCCGGTCGAGTATTATTCCATACCCGATCGGTATGTGTTCTTTTTCAATTTTCGAGCCCTGTACTCGACCGAATATGGGCATCAGTTTCCCTGGTACTTCGACTTTCTGTACATACTCGACCGGGTATATAGTGATACCCGATCGAGTATGTCTATTTTCTTTCAAAAATTCATGCTTCCTCGATCGAGCAATGCCCGGTTCCCCTTCTTTTGGCCATACCCGACCGAGTATAAGGTGGTACTCGATCGGGTATGTCCCCAGATGCTCCAAAACCTGCATTTTTGTTTTTATTTTTTTTTACTCCACAAACCTGTGATTAGTGCCCTCTCTCTCAACCTCCCAAAAACAGAATTGAAATTTTGACAGGGGAGTTAACAATAAAAGAAAGATGTACCTTTGCTTGGGTTGCCTCCCAAGAAGCGCCTTAGTTAACGTCGCGGCACGACGCCATTGTTGTGTTCATTCTTCAAAGATTGGATCGATGAGATCCATGCATTCAATGCTTTCTTTCGGGAAACCTTCAAGGAATGGTTTGAGTTGATGTCCATTAACCTTGAGGATTTTTCTGGTGTCGAGGCTTTTTATTTCCACTTCGCCATGGGTGTAGACTTTGACCACCTCGAATGGTCCTTCCCATCGTGATCTCAATTTTCCGGGGAAAAGGCGAAGGCGTGAGAGAAAAAGAAGGACTTTGTCTCCAACTTGGAAATCCTTTCTTATTATCATTTTGTCATGCCATACCTTCGTCTTTTCCTTGTAGATGGCGGCATTCTCATAGGACTCCAATCGAAGCTCTTCTAGTTCTTG